GCGCAGGAAGAGAGTTCAGCTCTCAGAAAAGATTTGTTTTGATTCCTCCTGGTTAACTTGAGATGGCAATTTACACCGTGCTATTTAGACCACTTGTGTACGGTTGAGTAAGTGATGGTGATAAGTGAGATGAAACATAACATTGAACTACACCGTACAACCAGTAATGCAAGCTGCACGATCTTCTACAGCGAGAGTAGAAAGAAAACTCTGTCTTTAATTCCTACTAGAAAAAGCTAGTTGACGAGAAATTTACATATACTTATCCTGATCTTAACAAATGCTTATTTAAATCATTAAATCATTTTAAGTATTTTAATTGTATTAAGATTGTCCGAATCTGAAATCGCATACGCACATTATGCATGGTGTACACGATGCTTGTAATGAAAAATACACATATAGTACTATAATATTGTTATCCGATATTTATTGCAATAGGGAGTCGCTTATTAATTATCGCACAATATTCCTATAGGTAATACAAAAAAGTGAGAATATATTATGTTTCGCACAATGTTTTCATAAAATGTTGCTGTTGACAGAGTTCACACGAAAAGAGAATAGTAAGACTGCACACGGTGCAAAAGAAGGTAAGAATGAACTACGCGTTGTAGGATGACAAAACTCAGAGGAATCTCGATTCTAAAGATATATATGATGCAATCGTAAAGGGCAAAAAGTAATAATGCAATTTATGTGGTTAAATTAAAACGGTCGAAAATGTGTTTCATCAAATAGTTGGTAGGTTAGGTCGGCTGCTGTATTGACCGGGCAGTTACGGCTTACGGCGCTGTGTATTGACGCAAAAATTTGGCGCCCTCAAAATGGTTGTCTCGACGAGCCATCGAATTTCTACGTATTGAACGCGTTGAAGGATGCTTCTCGCTACTCACCACTTCTCTGCATCGTTCCGCTAGGTCGTTACGATTCATTAAACATAACTCTACCGATCGAACAGCGTGAGAAAAATTTTAGCAGAACACCACCAACGTATCCATCGACACGACACCAAACCCTGTCAACGCGACCAACTACTCATGCCTTAACCCAGCCGCTACCGCTGTCTGGCATGCGTTTTCAAATGATCTCGAAGAAAGTCGAATGGTAATCGAGATATGCGTGCGCAGAAACGAGGTTATGTCAACGATTCGGCCATCGAGCGAAAACTTTTTATAAACAATTGACTTTCATCGTACAATTTCTATGAAAATACTTCGTATTTGTTTCGACTACGTCATGATATATATTTAACGTCGAGATATTACCATGCTATAACTTAGATTGATACTTTAATTTACGATAATTGATAAATATTTGAATTAGAAGAGACACGTATACTTTACATGGCATACATAACGTGGCTTTATTTACCAAAGTGCATTGTATAAATGTTTTTAATAAATTTACACACTTTTTATCCCTGTTTGCAATTAGTAAAAAGAATAAATATATATTAAATATGTACATATATATTTTATTAAGTCTGTCGTACAATTTTTAAACGTTGTGAACTACCTTCACGGAATAGGAATATTTAATTATTCGTTTAGGAATTGTAAGTTCGAAATGTTGGATGTCTTGCTCTGCACGATAAAGGGAAGATAACGACCATAAGAGAGTAGATAATTATATAAACAATATGAAAAGTCATCAATCAGTTTTTGGTTGTTGACTAGTTTGGTGTCGTCATCGATAAAACGTTAAAAGTGATATGGCTAAGCTACCTAAGATTAACGTTGTAAATGCCAGTAACGTCCATAGTGCTAGTCTATTCCTTTTTCATGGATCAGGTATATTTATATTACTTGTCAATAAGTTTTTATTTATTATTGATTACTTTTTATATGAAATAATTAGTAGGTGAACGTTGAAAGTCATTTTTTATATTACTATTTCAGGAGCTACTGGGAGTAATTTTAAAGAGTGGATCGACATTCTGAATAGGGAGGAATTAAAATTTCCACACATAAAAATTATTTACCCTACCGCACCTCTTCAACCTTATACACCTCTTCATGGGATGGTAATACGATAAATTGACACGATAAATTTAAAACGCATAAAACAGATTGATAATGTATACAAAATAATTGTTATTTTAGCAAAGCCATGTATGGTTCGATCGTAAGAGTATATCTATAGAAGCCCAAGAAGACGTTCAATCAATAAATTCAATGTGTATAACTATCGCAGAACTTATCGATAAAGAAATTTCTGATGGTATACCAAACGATAAAATCGTTGTTGCTGGTTTCTCAATGGGAGGAGCCCTATCGATGTATTTATCATATAGGTACAAATTATCTTTAGCTGGATGTTGCGCTATGTCTAGCTTTCTTAATAAAAATTCATTTGTATATCAGGTACATATGCGATATAAACGCCCATATTATTATTTTTTAATATCAACACATTTGACGCTTGTTTTTTGTTATCACGCATAGCATTTGAAAAACAATCCAGAAATACACGCTCCGCCTCTTCTGCAATTTCACGGTGTTGATGATAAACTGGTCCCAATAAAATGGGGAGAAGAATGCTATAACAATCTAAAAGAACTCGGTGTTAATACTCAATTTGTACCATTAAATAACGTAGATCACGAATTAAGTAGAATCGAGATACAGGCCTTCAAAGAGTGGCTTTTGGACATTTTACCACAGAAATTATCCGACTAATTTAGCTATACGAAATTTGTACTTTTGTAAAATATTGTTATAAATATTTTGATTAAATAAACGATATATGTATGAGGAAAAAATATATTTATTCTTGGAGCAAAATTTAGAAACTAATAAGAAACTAAAATATTAAAGTAAGAGAGATGGGAAAGGGTAGAAAAAACTACAACGATTTTATGTACGAGAGTGGGGAACAGGATAGGAGGGAGGTAAACAAGCGCCATCGAGGAGAGCATCGACGAATCGTAAGCCAGTGGTCTCAAGGGGTCGTGAGAAGGTGCTGCGCCCCACAAGCAACGGAGAAGTTCGAGGGTAGTAAAGTAGTAACGTATTCGACACACTGGCCTCATATACCGGATATAACCCACATATTAAGGTACATACAACGAATAAATACTACCGTTTTTGTAATCGTTATCCTTTCGACGAAACGAAGATCTAAAAGAAGTCAAAAGTTCAAATGTTACTGTGTTACTTTGTATAGATCAATAGTTATAAATCGTGATACAAGTATTATGCAAATATTGTTGAGACTAAAAGTGATTATGTAGCGTGAAACTTACCCCTCGAATTTACTACGTATTATCACATGTACACAGTTTTATCTTTCAGTGTGACAATAATGTGCGATAATGATGTGCGTGAATCATGGCTACGACATTGTTCAAATATATTATTACAAACAAGTATTATACTTGCATTTAACTTGTAATCGAATAATCTCAATCTCGAAGAATTGCTAATTAGTTCGATCTGATTTTACAAACAATTAAACGAATTCGATTTAGAAATATACGTATATTTGTGACGTTTCTAGATATTACATCAAAATTATACGGTGTAGAGAAAAGAAATATTTTGAAAAGTTATTGCGTGAATGCACAATGAATCGACAGTAAATAATATTTTTTTTCTTTTTGTATCATATAATTTGTACTTTACAATTTGTTCAGCTGGACATTCGGTAAATTGTAAATAATATGGCGCGCCTTCATCTGCAATCGATGACGTCAAAGTCAACGGAAAGGGATGTCAACGATTCGATTTAACAATTAAATGGAATGCCTGCATCCTTGCAAAGGTTTCAGATGAAAATATGTCAAACGTGAAACGAATGAAATGAATATCGTTCGCCGATAAGAGCGTTAATTAAATTGAAACGTATATCGTATGTCATCGAGTGTTATGCAAAATTTGTCGCACAAGTAAATATCGTTTGACTCGAACACGACATAGCCAAAAGAATTCTCGAATTCGTCGCTGTACTATATAAAAACCGTACTGCGTCTGATGAAATCGATCGGCAGACGTTTCAGGAAACTTGAATTTTCAATCGATGAAATTCAATCTTGTTACAGTATACAGCTATCTAAAAGAAAACGAAGATAACAGAGGAGAACAAAGAGGAACGAAAAGAAACGGCGCTAACGAAAGTACGTGACGAGGAAATGTCGCGATGAGATACGACGATAGGACCTAAGCGTCGGAACTTAGGTCGTGAGGAGGGGAACACGGCTAAGAAATAAGAAACGAAATGTATCGGCCAGCGGACGTTCCTAATTGAAAAATAGAGGCATCGAAGGCGAAAAGCAGCAGGTTGATGTTAAGTGGGGAGATATTAAAATGGGTCAAGAGTATCTCCATGATGACAGTGTACTTACGTTGTTCGACTTCACGCTCGATGCCTTCGTGAAGAGATTCTCCTGCGAACTCGTCGCGAGGATCATCGAGTCCGCGATATAATATAACACCTTCATCGTTTTCTCCAATGTCATTGACAACGAGCTTCAAACTGGTTCCAATGTAAATTACTAATCCTGTCCGCGTAATATTTCGCGATAAATTTTAAAACGAGCAAATTTGCCGCGGAAATATAATAATTTATTAAGAGATAGAAAAGAGAAATGAGATTGTTAATGGAATTATTATCTTGTCGTGTCAACGATAAGTAACTAACGTATCACTTAAGTTGTGTGTACGTTACTTGAATTGTTGTTAGTTTATGTAGAAACTTTAAATCGCGCAATGCGATACGTTACGGGCAACGGCTGTCGACATAATCATTTTGTGTTTAAAAATCGTTGAAGGGAAGAAAGGAATATTTTTCTGCGAAATTTAAGAAGATTATTTTCGTGGTGTACGAATCGCGCAAAATTACGGAGTCTGTGTCCACCACGGGGGCGACTTGGCTGTACAACATTACTACCCAAGGTAAATGAATTTTTTTATATTTAATTACACCTTTACCTAATCGATGTTACATACAATTGATTTCAAATAAAAGGGACTTGAAACTTGTGGTAAGAGAAAGAAACGAAGATTGTTTCAAAGGATACTACTACGTACATATATTTATGATACATGTATCTGTTATGCAAGAAAATCAATTTATTAAATATAACATATCGCAAATCGAAACGATGCGTTTCGAGTTGAATAATTGAACGAAAACATCATGAAATATATTTGCATTTTGCTAATGAAGAAACCGCAGTTCCAAAGTTTAGCTACGACAATTACCAGATTACCACTTTCTCTGTATCAGAAAACGTACGTAATATTCCGACACTTTCCAAGTAATCTATGAACCTAGGTACGATTGGAATTACTGACCCACTATCGTCGCCTGTAATATGTCAAGATTACCGCACTCTTCTCACTTTCACCTTACTTTACTTCCCGACAGATAACGAAACATATTCCGTTAGCGTAAAGCGTAAGAGAGAGCGTTCCAACGTTCCAAGTTGTTTCTCGCGCGTGTTATAATCGATGCGCTTCAGGTAGCTTCATTACCATTACCATTACCGTACAGTACGATCATTTCTCTGTTCATCGAACTCCGTGACAACGATGTATAACGGTTAATATGTAAAATGTATCTACGTAAAAATAATTTATACCGTTAATTGATAGAATAAGAGAAGGCAAACGAAAGGAAAAGATCGATTTTGATGGAATCAACGTGGGTGAATGTGGGTATGCTAAAAGCATTGCAGCAGCGATGGAAAACGTACAATTAATTTTTCGAATAATGTAATAAAATGTTCGGTAAACGACGATCAAATTTTCCTTGCGTTAAAATTCATCGCACAAAATTGGATTATTGCCAAGAACAGATGCGTTAGTATCGCTATTTACTCCGCATTGCGGATTGAAATACATTTATCGCGCGAAAGGGAAAATGTTTGCGATTAATGTCCGATTGTTCCTGCGAAACGTGTCCAATAGGCTGAAGCGGAGCTCGCCGCGAGAGAATAATACCTGAACTTGGATTTCTTTTATATAACATGTTAGCGCATAAAATAACTAAATACAGAGAATACAACAGGGTAAAGTATCTAAATATAAGATAAAATAAGGAAGTAAAGAAGTTGATTCAAACTATTGTGGTTCATTTATGTATGAGCCAATGATATTAACTAATCTATGATATTTAAGAAAGAAATGACGATTACAGGGGAGATGAGCAACAGCGCTGGGTTAGGATTCGGCATCGGTCTCGGCGGCGGCGGCGAAGGTCCAGTCCTCACAGCCGCTCAACAACGCCAAGGGGTAGTCACGTTTTTGGTGATGCTAGCTGTGCTCTGCTTTATATTCGCTTATTGCTGTTGGGGCGCACCGTTCTGCAGATCATTGTGCAGACGACATTGTTGCTGCCAACTCGAAGATCCAGAGCCGGATTCACGATTTAGCAATAACGATCAAACTATGGTAGCAACACCAACGATTATTCTCTTGCCACACGGTAGGATGCTCGTTGTGGATGGTACGATCTTCACGCAGTTTCAAACCGATCCAACTGGTGAGATTGCTAACATGTAGTAAACTTCGGTGCTCCTTTCTTCTTCTTCTCCTTTTCTTTCAAGTTGTAGAATATCAACGAATCGAAGACGAAAATGTTAGTTACTCTATGTTATTTGTCGGATTTTAGGTTTAGATTTGGTGGAACTAGGTGATAGCGTACTACGTGCTCAAAGAAATCCACGAGGCATAATTCGACATCAGCTACAAAACAGCCAAGGTAGTATACTCGAGATGGATGCAGAAACGTCAAGCAAAGATAGCTTAGGATCCGTTGGGTGTTTTCCACCACCAACTTACGAGAGTATCTATGGTAAAGAAGAGTCGGATATGCCGCCATCGTATTCCGATATCTTACTACACAGGTCAGTTTTGATTCTAATGATATTTGCGATAATTTCTCTTTAATAGATTTGATAATTCTATCGTTAGGTTTGCCAATCTTCCTCACGAGATAGATATGCACGGTTATTGTCACGATGGCAAAGAAGAAATTGAAATGCAAAGTTTAGATGGTTGTCCGCATATACTAAGCAATCCGATGAATACAATAGCATACCCTTATGCGACCGTAACGAATTTCTCGAGTCAAAGCTTCCCACGAAGGACCGTCTCGAGAAATCCATCCATCATTAGCAATCCACTTGATAGCTATTACGTCGATAACGAATTAGAATTATACCGGTTGAGTCAGGAGATGGTACCACGAGTATTTAGTAACGCGAACTTTGAGACTCTTAGAACTTATCAAGACGAAACCTCGTTTTATAACGTGAACGGAAACGTAAGCGAACGACAAAGCGACACGTTGTCGAATAATGGAAATTATTGCTTGTCCGATAATAACATTCGAAACAACGAAAGAGTGATCCCAAATAATACCGATCAAGTATCGAGGAATATAACGTCGGCAAATGAGTTAATGAATACAAGAAATCTTGTTCGAAGCATGTCGAGAACTAGCGAAGAAAGCAGAAATAACATAGAAAATTCACAGAGAGATAACCAAGAGACTGGAGTAGTTTTCGTCCGGATATCACGTTCCGACGATTGCAACAATAGCCAGACTTCGCAAAACTGGTATAACGACGCAACTGAAAACGATAGGTCGAGAGCACAAGCAAATGAGGAAGATGAATCTAGTCTAAGAAATATACATCCCGAAAATGGCCAGACGGATGAAACCAATCACAATATGGAATCTAATCCGATAGGATATTATATAAGAAATCAAAGCACTGACGAGGCTGTCGGCAGGTCGCACAGGCTAGAAAGCGAGGCTGTTTATTCTGATGAAGAGACTAGAAATTTTGGAGCACTGGCAGACATTCGCGAAAGTCGGGTATAACGTGAGATATAACACTGAAAATATATGATAACAATCGATAGGAGGTAGAAAACTCTCTGACCAAAGGTGCATATGTCGATAATTACATTCTGTAAAAAGCTTATAATAAAAGTGAAAATATATTCTATTAATGTAACAGTTTATTTTCATGGAAATTAATTACTTTGAAACGTATCTTAAATAATAAAGTTCGCAGTACTAAGAGCGCTCGAAATTTAGTAGAGAAATCTATTATTCAATTGAAATTAATATTATTTCATTTATCAGAATCAAATATTTTTTTGTTAGTTTTTAATCTAAATGTACTATGATGGGTTTTAAGTCTATTTGTACACAAAAAGATAATTATAACATTTAAAAAAGCATGGAAAAATGCGGACAGATAATTCAACTGACCTAAGAGGATCACCAAATTGTTTAAGTCCTGAAAATAATTTTATATACAAAAAGGTACAATCAATTTAATTATGGCATAATAATAAGAGGAGAAAGACGAGGAAAAGTTAGTTCAGTCCGTCCAAGGGTTAATCTACACACTAGGTTCAGTAATTGTTAAGTAAATGACCGTCGTAAATGAATTCAAATATTTTTTACGCATTATTAGTAATCTATTCTACAGACTACTTGTTATATATTTGCTTTTTATATTATTTTAGTATAAAACGCAATACAGTTAACGATTTCTGAAATTCAAACTTAGATGCAACAAGCTCATAATTTATATTTTTACGTGTCACGAGAAAACAATGAATATAGAATACATAAAAGTAAGACGTGTATAGAATAACTGTTGGACACGTGTCCTATGTACAGGTCCTATGTACAGATTATGTATATGTAAATGTATCTCCCGAATTGAGTTTGAACTTACTACCCTAAAAGAACTGTGGCATAAATGCATAAGATGTACACTGTTATTTTACAAAAATATACTACGTGGCACTATTGTCCACGCACACATACTCACACACATGTCATATTTATATGACATAAACAAGATACAATGAAAATTGATTTTACATAGAGTCATATATGCGTTATAAATATACACTAAGTTACGTGAAAATTATACACTGAACACATTATTACCGTTGTTGCATAGATAAAAAAGATATCAAAGTAAAGCTACTAATGAAATAAAGTATTTAATAAAAAATTGAAACTTTGTTTTTAATCTACACTTTTTTCTAAATATATAGGTAATAAAAAAAGAATAGGAAACCAAAAATGTTAAAATAGAGGTAAAATTTTACTCGTAATAATTTAATTAAAAGATACTCTTTAATCGTCATCATGAATCGACGAGTGATAGTAGCATACCTTTAAATTAATTTTGCACGAATCATTTCTCACATATGTATAGGTATTTTATATTTTTTTACAATTTAATTGTCACTATCTACGTCTTCAGGGGCCGAAGAATCTTCATCCATGTCTTCCCGATCCCAATCCTTCAATTTCGTTCCCATTACGAAATCATCTCTCAGCACATTCCAAATTTCCTTCTCCTTCTATATGAGATATATATATTATCGTTTTTTCAGCATTAAATATTTGCTAATAATAATAACACTTGTCTAAGAAATACCTTTACCTTCTTTTTATGCTTTCCATTTTCTTGCGTTTCATTTTTTACATCATTATCTACTGGTATACTTTTACTTCCTCCCATAAGAACATCCAAGAATACAGTCTTATCGATATTTTTCAATACTTCATCGCGTTTTCTTTCTAATGGTCCAGCTTCTGATAATTTTTTGTTAATCTCACCTTGTTGTTGTTTAACTGCATTGAATAGTTGTACTACACCTCTACGATAAAAAATGATTATTTATTTAAAATAAACAAAAAAATTACATCCTCTATCCTTAGAGTAATTAAATTACTTTGTAGCAATCTTTTGTAATGTCCTTTCACGCTCTCTGTCCGTGATGCTTGGTTTTACTCTAATACCTAAATTTTTTTCTTTCCTCCTTTCTTTTATTCGTGGTTTTTTAACATTGGCATCTGCTTCTTCTAATTCCTCTGTTTTTATTTCCCTTTTCTCTTTCTCAATTTCAAATGACAACTTTTCTTTACCTTTTTCATCTTTCACGTCGTATAACCTTTTTGCTTTTGATAAAACTATTGTTTTCCTACGTTTTGGCTTTTTTGTCCGTAGAATTTTTTGCATAGCATCTGCCCACCCGGCATTTCCACCAGCTTCACTTTTTGCATCAGTAAGCTCGTCATCTTCAAATTCTTCTTCTTCTATATGTTTCATTTTTATAGATCTGCTTGGCCTCCCTAATTCCTCTGCTTCAGATTCTGAGGGAATGATCATCACTACTGTTTTTATTATCATTACAACGTTCTTTTAATTTCATTGCAATAATATTTATGAAATATACATATCAAGTAAAGTAAAAAATATCTTTACAAAATTGACACGAACAAGAATATTTAATAATTTCTTGAAACCACAAATATTAGATTAAACATGATAGGTTATGTAAGAAGAGAATCAGAATTTAAATAAATTCTAGATATAATCTTGTGAGTTTCTCAATGGTTTTCTCATGTTTATCTTATTATCTAACACGACTATTATTAATTAAGAAGAAAAAACCACATATTAATAAATTTGATTAAAGTCAATACTAACCCACGATCGTACCTTATGACTAAGAAACCAGGGAGAATATTTAAATAGAACTTATCTCGATTAATTCCTTACGTTCTAAACTTTCATTTGAACTCTCCTCGAAATTAAAAAATTCTTCCTAGGAGCCGAAAAATTTGGATTTTTTAATTTTACCACCTGTTGATTGGACATAATAAAATATGTATTATATTATGTATATTTCAGACGCAAATATTTCAAGATTAAGTGATGATAACGATATAATTATTAAGATAACTGTATTTGTTTTTTCATGCTTTACAAAAATATCGGAAAATAAATATAAGATTCTACTTAAAAGAATATTGATGACCTTAAAATCCTGTAAAAAAGAAATGATCATGAGAGAAAACTATTTCCAACGTTATATGTGGTTCCTGAAATAATGTAACTTTTTCCTGACAAATTTTTCCATACAACGATATAACAAATAAGGTAAATATTTAAGTAATCTCATTTACCTGGACCACCCTGTACATGCATATTAATCGAGGGCCAATCAACCATTTCATTACTCACGAACACGATGAAACTCTATGTATGATGAAACTGTAATGAACATTTATGAAGAATTCGTAATGTTATATTTTATTTTAATTATTATAGGTCTTTCCTATTTTTTCTATCGTGCAAGTACGTACGTACATACTGGATAACAAGATTCGAGAATTCTCGATTGAAATGTCTTTTCGTTTTCGATATTGCGTGCAACGAAGCAACATTTATTAAAGCGCCTCTCATGTCAGTTTTACAAGAACTACGAATAGAATTCCACAGTGAATTATACTTTACACTGCGAACAGCTGTTTGCCTCTAAGACTTCTCTAGACTTAATGAAATACTATTTTTTTTTTTAATATTTTCACGTAACTATAGCAGAAAAACCAAAATATAATAAGATAACAATTGTAAATGTGGAATCTCTCTTATCAAGAAATATTATATTTAATTTTAAGAGTATTGCTGTTTGCGAGGAAAAGCTCAAAATGGTATTTGTCAAATCTTTGTTCGTATTATCTATCAAATAAACACATGTAACCTAAAACGCGTGAATTTAAAGAAATTTAAAGGAAATTATAGAAATGGATGTTGTTGTTACAACAAGTTTAGAAGCCCTGATACGTAAGTTAAGATACCATATATTTATTTATTGTGTAGAAATGTCTATAGTAACAAAGACTGTCCATTTTATAGATATTCAGTTGTGGTTAATTTATTAAATATATCTTTTTTTCTTCTTTTATTTTTTCCTTCTTTCTTATCTTTTTTGTAGAAAGGGTAACAAATCCCCAAAATCAAAAACCTGATATAGCTGCAACCGAAGCATTCTGTGTGATGCTCACCAAAGAAGCAGAAGGTATTCAAATTGGCACTAAATTATTAGCACTGCGTATTCAATCATCTAACGAGACTGAAGCACTTCAAGCTCTTGCTGTAAGTTTCTTTGTCAAATTTCTGTCGCATAACAAATTCAGATGTAAAATTATTTCATTTCATATTATTTTATTTATTTAAAGTTATTCTAAAGAAAACCTGTATATATGTATGCATATATGTATACATATAGGAAGTAGAAGTCATTTTATTTTGATTGTTTTATTTGATTTATTGCTTATTGTTTAGTATTTGATACTTTTTGAATATAAATTTAAATTAAAAGATAATCTCTGGTAGTAAACCAACATACATATTGCACAAGTATAAGTTTTATCATTCTTATATGTTGTTTTTGGTTTTTAATTACTTTTACAGTTACTAGATACATGTATGAATAGATGCGGGCCGTCTTTTCACGCAGAAGTTGGTAAATTTCGTTTTTTAAATGAAATGATTCGTTTAGTTTCACCAAAGTATCTAGGTGGTAAAACGCCAGCCATGGTGCGCCAAAAAGTATTACAGTTGTTACATACATGGACAAGGGAGTATCCAAAAGAATTAAAAATTAAAGAAGCCTATGAAATGTTAAAAAAACAGGGTGTTATAGAAGTAAGTTCCATATATTATTTTTGACAGAGAGTTTAGTCTCCTTTTTTTTCAATCTTTTCTTAAGATGTGAAAATTGTACTTGTATTCAGGATGATTCCGTGTCTTTAAATAATACTCAAGAGGAAGGATTGAAAGCATTAAAAACTAAGAGTACGATATTTGATGATGAAGAGAAATCTAAATTGCTGCAGAAATTGTTGCAAAGTAAAAATCCTGATGATTTACAAGCTGCAAATAGATTAATTAAAACTATGGTGAGAGAGGTAAGTGTAATATGTATTTGAAAAATTGTAAAATAGTAGTTTTGCAAAATATATCAACTACTATTTTATAGGATGAAAGAAGAGTACAATTAAATTCACGTAGGATAATGGAGCTAGAGTCTGTTCATAACAATGCAAAATTATTATCAGAAATGTTAGATTCGTATAACTGTAATGAAACTAGTACGGAAGATCTTGAATTAATGAAAGAATTATATCAGGCTTGCGAACGATTAAAACCAATTGTGCTCAGATTAGCAAATGAAACCCAAGATAACGAAGGAATGCTTAGTAAGTATCTTATCGAAATTCGTTTAAAGAAATTTAACGAATACGAGAATTACTTTCTTTGTCTATTAAACAATCATTTCTTCATTCAACTTTTACTAATATCGAGTTAATAACTTGAGCATAAAATGTAAAAACTTACGTTATAATTATTAGTCGGAATTTTAAAGCCGTATCATGTTTAAATAATCTAATAGGTGATGTACTTGCTGCAAGTGATGAATTGGAACAAGTCTTTGAGAAGTACACCGCTATTATAGTTCATGGTAAATGTGTGAAGCCTAAAATAGACTCCGATATCAGTCCGTATTTATTAGATTTATCTTCTCCAATGGAGAATGTTCCTCTTGAAAGTGATGGTGTAAACGCAATGACCACAAATCATCAGTCAGATATGGAAGTTTTAGGAGATATCTTCAGTTCACTAGGGAAGTCTGAAGATTCAGAAATCTCTTCGGTTTCTGACGCAAATCTCTTAATGATCGAATCAGTCATGCAGCCAATTAATGTTTTACCTAAAAATAAAAAAGGTCCGTGAATGTAAAATATCTGACACATATGCTCTATCGATTGAATAACGCTGATATATTGAAAAAATCGAGCGTTTTTAATAATGAATTTGATCGATTAAATAAACGAACAAATGGTGAGTAACATTCCATTTTCAGATGAATTAATCAACACATCTGAAAAGAAAATTGACAGTAAAGCAAAAGCACTGGAGGAATTGAACGAATTGGGAGAGTCTTTGCTTAAACAAAGCTTATCAGGCATAGTATCGAATTCACGTGTAAAGTTAGGAAGGTTGGTAAAACGTACTTATACTCTTTAATTAGTTCCATTATATACAATTACGGCGTTTAGTAATAGTAGTAATAGTAGTAGTAAACAAACTACAAAAAATAGTATAAATCGTCCACCAAATATCAAACCTTTCAAACGTTTCAACGACCTTCCCTCGTAGCGGCAGTTCTTCACATTTTCCTAATTTGTCGGATACTACAAGTGTAAAAAACGACAAACTATCTGATATTCATCTTAAGTCAAGCGATAACATTCCATCTCACGATGATACAAATCCTCAAACCATCGAATCTAATGCAAATGAGAAGATAGAAACGAACCGATGTAACAATCGATCAAGTGTATGGGATGCTGCTTCAATAATACCGTCGACGGAAAATTCAGTTAGTCCCGAACCGGAGATTAAACCATTGACAGACATTAACATTAGCCTTCAAGATATTAAACCAGGTAAATTGTTGTTTCCTGTTCTTTTGCATCTATTGATATTATCATAAAAGTACATTATATCTTTGCCTAAAGACAGAGTACGATGTTATACCTCTTATTCAATGCCCGATATTTAACGAGACACGTTAGTAACGGTTAAAATAAAACTGTTCGTTCTATTGTTTATTCAATAGGTATTAATCCGCCTATGACAGTAATCGAAGAGAAGAATGGTATATCTGTTGTGCTTCATTTTGCTCGGGACAATCCAAGGCAAGATGTGTTTGTCGTAGTGATTACGACAATGAGTAAGAATTTGAAGCCACTTACCAATTACTTGTTTCAAGCAGTGGTGCCAAAAGTATGTTTTTAATATTCATCTAATTACTTTTCGTCGTTGTTATTGTCCATACAACTAGCAAATCATTACAATTCGATTAATTAAATTACTAACATTTGGAACTGAAAATATTTTGCCTTTTTAGAAATGTAAATGTAGACTACAGCCACCTTCTGGAACAGGATTGCCTGGTCATAATCCATTCTTGCCTCCATCAGCAATTACTCAAATTATGCTAATTGCAAATCCTACCAAGGTAAAACAATGAAAATATTTCTTTTGTATTTGAAATATTCACTGACTTTTTTTAACCTGATATAATCCGTTTTGTAGGAAACGGTATCATTAAAGTTTATGTTAAGTTATACAATGGACAATGAAACTTTCACAGAAATGGGTGAAGTAGAAAAGTTGCCTTTCATTTAAAGTACTTAAAGTATAATTACTAAGAGTAAACTCACAAAAATGCAGGTTCCAATAGCTAAAAGGAGAATAATATATATATATTATATATATTAACACATATTATATATATAATATGTACACACACATACACACGCGCGCGCACACACACAACAAACAAACAAACAAACAAAATTTTCCAAAATTGGAATCATGAGAAAGTAATTTTCTCTTATGCTTTATTTCTTGAATTATAATTACAATTTTATCTTCATTATCATATTTATTATTATATTTAAAGATAAAATTAATGTTACGTAGTTACTTAAAAGTAATATTGTGATTTATGTATACGCTTGAAAATGTGCAAATTTTAAGATCAAAAGATGGAAGTGGACACATTGGAAAATCGTACGTGATAAAGTCGAAGTAACTATGATTGAAAAATAGCGGAAAGAAAAGGCACAAATAAAAGAAACAACAAAGCACGAAAATTAAATAGTTTAATATAAATTATAAGTTAAAACGACATTCCTCCTTATTATTAAATATAAATGAGAACAATATTTTATTCAAAAATTTAAACAAATGTACTGCTCGTTTAAGAAGCGGAAAGTACTTCATCGCGAAATGCAAGAGCAGTAACTGCTTTTTGGTGACCCTGATATTCTCGTTCTACTACTCCTGTTGATACATTCCATAATCTTGCAACACCATCGGACGAAGCTAAATCAAGTCAAATGTTGAAATTAAATCCAAAAAAACGTGATAACAAAAGAATAAAAAAGAAAGTATGTTATTACCAGTAAATATGTATTGTGAATCTGCACTAAACGCAGCATCCCAGACCCATCGTTTTGCCTCATGTTGAAGTACTTGTACTTCCGAGAAATCTGTAGTTTTCCAAACTCGAGCAGTCTGATCAGCAGATGTAGTCACTAAAAGTCTAATCAAAAGAGACCACGAATTACAATAAATAGTACATAATTTTATATGATTTTATTATCATATTATGTATTTAATGAAATATACTTACGTAGAATCGGGGCTAAATTTGCATCGAAGTGCGTAACGTTTGTGTGCTGAAAGTTTGTGACGAGGATTAAGACGGGTAGGTTCATCGCCTACACCCCCGGTAAGTGTCCAAATATAACAGTGGCCTTTGTTGTTCACTGCTGCCATATATGTACCATCTTGATCAATCGCAACGTCTTGCACAGACGCTTCAGCTTCTGGTATCTTTACGTACAAAGAGCAATTATTTAAATAAATAAGCGTGGAATTAAAGTCAACCAAAATCGGCATGTCGCCATTACTAATAAAACAAATTATTTTCTACACTTTTTCGTACCAGTTGTTCGTTATGATCCGAACGTAAATCCCACAAATGTATAACACCGCTTTGATCACCAACAATAAGTTCTGCTTGATTCGGATGCAGACAAACACAGTTTACAGGAGCTGACACTTGGAATATTCGTTGGCATTGAAAGCTACTTGACCTGTAACATTTTTGTTATTCTTTTTATTATTATTATCATCATTATTATTACTTATTTATTATTTTCAAATTTTCTTTTGTAGCAAACAATTAACATGGTATCTAAATCCTATTTGTATTTGCCTGAGATCCCAAATCCGTGCTGAACAGTCTTCACCACCAGTATACATCCATTTCCCCTCTTCCTAGATATAATAAACTATATTAACAATTTTAGAATAAATGCTATTACATAACTATAAGAATAATCTTACAAAATTCCAAATTTGTATTGATACCAGCAGAATATAATGATAAAATACCTGGAAACCTAAACCTGTAATATTCTTTGACACTCCTTCATAATTAATAATTGGATTTGGATTGTTCGAAACCAAGTCATACATCCTTATATGTTGATATCCGGCAGCAGCTATTAGATATTTATCTGGAGTTATGTCTAAAGCATTGACTTGCTAAAAATAGCAAAGTATTAGAAGAAACAAATTTTAGACAAAATATACACGTGATATTTCCATAAATATCAGAAGATTACCGAATCTGTGTGTTCTGCAGTTCGTTGGCAAACTCCTGTGTGAGGTTGCCATATTTTGATAGTATGATCATAGCCACCCGTTACAAGAATAACTTGCTCATTACTGTTAGTACCATCCACAGTCATTTGATAAAATGTAGAAATGATTAAAACTGGATCTCAATATTTTATAATTTTCTAGTAAGATTTGTATCTAGTAAGTCTTGTATCATTGCATGTTCAATCATATACAATTTATAGCTTATCCTTGGCTGTCTCAAAATACGTTGATTATAAATGAATAGTTATTCAATAAAATATACTTTTGCTATGTCTTTGTTTTTTACTTTACACCCTCTGTTTTTCCTTCCGACCGGTTAGATCGTTTGAAATACAATAATATGTATTATTAGCAGATTTTGTTTGTATTACACAACAGGTTATGTCATGAAGGGAGATTTTTGTACAACAGCTAGTAACATCTCTATGTTACCATTAATTTAACCCGTTCTCTTTTAAAGGTACAACGTGCAACAGAGAAACATTGTTTGATTTATTTGTATTTATTTTTATTTTTGTTCTTACAATAGAAACTTAAAAACTCAGCAAGATTATAAACAGAAACCATAAATGCCACTCTTCCCAAATAATATCATTATCCATTATTTCATGCAATATATCTTTCAATGCAATTTAAAAACATGATGTGTAAAATTTACATCCATATCAATATATATATGTATACATATAAATATAAAAAATATATTACATTATTATTATTATCATTATTACATTTTTCAAATATTTGTTGTAAACAATAACACTGATATTTGATACTGAAAAATATTTACTTCAATTTATAAGTTGATCTTGAAATTCGTTAAAATTGAGACATGTGTTAAATAAGAAATTTCAACGATTTATCGACGTTTTATCCAAAATCATACTACAATTATGATCGAACGGATAGACAATTAGTGAAAAACATATATACCTAGATAGATCATAAAATACAGCATCGAATTACCACACTTGTATCCAATACTCATATTGTGTACATACGCGTTTCAATAGAGTTTGAAATAAAATGGAATTTAATTATATTTTATCTATATCTGATTATCTTTCAATATCTATTATCTATTATCTTTGCGCATCTCGGTCAATTTGTACATACAAACGTTCGCACTACGGATACACGTATTCACATATTATATATACATATAATTTAACATCTGATCTGATCTACTTGACAACCATGAAATGAAATTGACTGCATATAACTTTCATTTTGTTACTTTACTCGGGCACAGGACACTAAACATACAAATCTTTCTTATAAAAGTATCATTATAACCATTTATTTAGATTTACAAGAAACTAAGTCAATTCTAATTCTAGTTGAAATTATTTGGATGAATTTGTTCGTTACAATTATTTTTACAAATAATAATTTTTTCATTATAATTTTAATTGAAAAAGATTCAATTGATTTCTAAATTTTTCGTTATAATGGCAACACATGTTATAATGTACATATTTTACACAGTATTTTGGTATTTGTCGATTAATAAAATAAAAATACCTAAATGTTATAAATATATTCACAAAAAGAAAAGGAAATTTCCTTCATAATAAACGTTATCGTTGTATCTGTTTTTCTCCTATTACCTTTATATCTCCTATATACCTTCCTTTTAGTCCACTAAGTAAGACACTATTAACGTGGAAAATAATGTCACGAAAAATATCAAAATTTATCTTAAATTAAAAGTATTTCATAGAGGAAGAAAGCACAAAAAAAACTCAATATAACGGTCGATCAATACCTTATTTCTCATTTCATGAATTTCAAAATCTTCTTTTTCTAAGAAATCTTTCTTTCTTAGTTTTATATTATTTCTTCTTTCCTTCTCTTGCATAATTTTCTGTATATGTGATTGAAAGCTGTCGACTTGATACATCCTTGTTGATAATCATTCTGACAGAAGTCATACTAAGGATATACTTTCAAAACAGTTTATCCCATTATATATAAAATGAAAGGTCGATTCGGTATGTTCAACAAAACCAACAATTAAATTTGATAAATCAATCTTATGGATAACATGTATGGCTATATGAATATATGATCGCATGTTATGCGAGTCTATATTATATTCACATTTATGCGAAATCCGCTGCGATTTCCTTTTCTATATGGAACAACATTAAATGAAGGATGAACTGTTGCTTTTTCGAAAAACGTAATATTTACAAGTGATTTACAGGGTATGTTACAGTCTTTTCTTTGGTAAAGATCCAAAAGCAGATATTACCGTTGCTTTGGTGCCAGTTGCAGATGATGTTAAAGTGGTAAGAGTTGGTTGAGATAACAGCACAGTTGGCTTTATCGAGGCAGTAGCTCCAGTTGCAACTTGATCCCATTTACTTTTTCTTTTTTTAGCATCATCTTCCGTTGTACTAGAACTATTGGGTCGCTTAGCTGTACCAGAAACAATTTCGATTTTTGTTTTCTCTTTCCTAGCCTTCTCGAGTTTATCCATTTTTGCCTTTTGAACTTTGGCGAGCTCCTCGTAATATGAATCTTTACCCCACTTAAATGGATCGAATCTATCAGGAGGATAATTAGTACCCAATTCATTGATGCTACAAAATTGAACAAGTTTTTCGTAAATGGATGGATTTCTAAAATCCTTCCTTTGTTGTATAACTTTGTTCATATCCAAACCGCCGCTCTCCATTTTCCTAAAAAGTTTTGTTATCTTTTCCTGTAGTTCCACAGGACACTGTCCTGATGGCTCTGGTGGTATAACAACGCCATAGGGATCCACCTCGCTATCTGAAACTAACTGTTCTCCTTGACAAGAGGGAGAGCATTCCATAATCGAGGAGGGCCTTCCATTTTCAAAAGGCTGTCCATCGATTTGTGTTTGTACCACTCCCTCGTCATCGGAGACTATTGCATCATCAAAGTATGAAACCAATCTTTGCACCTTAGATGTCACATCTGTTACTAAGGTGGGTGCATTCGACAAATCGTTACTAGACTTGCCACCGACGTTGGGTGCAACAACGGGACTATTTGAGGCTGATGTGCCAGATTTGGGACTGGTGAAAGCCTGGGGCTGACCGACTTGGGCATTATGCGGGGCGGCCCCCTGGGGAGTGTTCGAATTCTCCTGAAGGTCGTCTTCCACCCCGTCTTCGCCCTCCGAGTCGGTATAGGTGGCCGTGAGAGATGCCAGAGCAACACTTTGTACAGACATGGTTAGTTGGCTTTGAGTGTCCGCCGTACTACCAAGCAATATTTTGTGTTGGAACTCACCGGTGTAGCGTAGAGCTGTACGCCTTTTAGTTGTAGGGCATTTATGTATGTAAATATGCCTTATATATCAACATTAACTATGCCCTGATATTTCGTTGGAATGTTTGTTACAATATCAAATCTGAAACAAGAATTTCAAACATATAATTTATTACCAAATCATCAAATTATATTCTTGAGTCAATAATAGATTGTAATTCCTTATCTACTCATGGTAGATAGTTTCACCAAAGAAAGGATAAAAAAAACGGCGAGAGGGAACGGAAGAAGAGGAAGTGGAGAAGGAGGCACAGGCGAAGGAGGTAGAGGAGGAAGTGAGAAAGTAACACCAATGTTTTGTACACGCAAACGTGTTTGTCATGTGATATAAAACATGCTAAACTCAAATAGTTTTATCGATACTGTTTATAAATTATTGTTGTGCTTTATAAAAGATACACCTCGTATTTTAGATCCACCAATCAACTGACAAGCGCATCAGGTTATGTCATTAAAGATCTAAATTTCGTGCGATAGCCACAACCAACCTGACTATTTGAATCCACAATTTTTCTGCTTACACTATACCTGATTTTCCACTCATTACGTTAAACTTACGACGTCTTATTTTTCTACTATTTAATGTTTTCCTGATGAAAAGACTTGAACATTACCAATGCATACCGTCTTGTATTCTAACTTCAACCTTTTTTATGAATTTCGTTGGTGCGCATGCGCAAAATTAATAAAATATTCCCAACGAATGGCTGAAGAAAACTTGAAACAAACATAATTGTGATCTATGCTAGCTACTAGCTAAATACTTATTTTCTTTATTATCATTATAAAGGTTTCTTTTTTTTTTTTCCTTCCTTTAGTAAAATACATATTATAAAGTTATTATTATTATTATTAAGGTTATTATCGCTAACTTTCATTACAGTCGTGCACAGCGCCGGCTCACAACTCTTAGATCTTTCGTATTCTCAGTGATTGCAAATGAATTACTTTTCTTTAAACTGGTAATTAATAAAACATTAGCTATTAAGTACACCTTGTGATTATGGAAAATATCGATCAAAATTAGTTGATGCTATATTGTCCTTTTTTTCGATTGACACAGTAACAATTTTATTCCTTTACATCTATCATTCATTATATCAGAATAAAAAACGCTCATATACCTGTTTTGTAATTTATTGCTGAATTTGGTAAATATTCAAAGAGCAGTAAATGTTATACATTGATGTAAGTTTATTATTTATTGCTTTTCAACAAAGTTATTCTCACACTTCTATACTCCTGTATTACGCTTACATAGATACTCACTTATATATAGATATTTTTGTTTTTTCACTGAAAAGTAATAAAGTTGTTTGGTGTAGTTAAAAATTATCAAAATTTAGAATTCAGGCGGCAAGAAAGGCAAGTTATTAAGCAGTAAATTCTTACATAAAATGTAATTTGAGGCATACTATGAAAGATTATTTACATATCTAAGTTTGGTACTCATTACAATTTATTTGAATGCCTCTATACGCGTGCGTCCATAACCAGTGTCGAATGCAAGTAACAGTTCCAGACGTTCCAGTACATCTATCGGTACAGTTCTCAAGTAAGCACTGTAAGCCACGATTATAGTATAAATGTAGTGATCGGTGGTGAGTTGGAGGATCTTGTCTCCTTGCTGACATATAGATATTCCACGTGTAATTAAATAGAAATTCAAAAAACGTTCTATAATTTCACCGCTACTAATCATGGTACTGGATTTAGAGCTGTTTCGAAAGGATAAAGGGTTTGATCCAGATAAAGTGCGAGAAAATCAAAGGAAACGTTTTAAAGATGTAAATTTAGTCGACACGGTGATCGAAAAAGATAAAATTTGGCGTCAGCTGCGACACAGAGCTGATAACTTAAATAAATTAAAAAATGTATGCAGCAAAGAAATAGGAGAGAAAATGAAAAAAAAGGAAGCAGTGGGCGGCGATGACACTGTCTCAAAGGATATTCTTGAAAACCTGGAAAATTTATTGCCTAATAACCTGAAATCGTTAACGGTTGCACAGATCAAAACTGTTCGTGGTTCCATCGACGATGCTATTCGAACAAATGATAAAGATTTAGTCTTAACCGAATTGGAAAGAAACCGTGCACTCAAAGAAATAGGAAACATATTGCATGAGTCTGTACCAATTAGCAATGACGAGGAGGAAAATAAAGTATATAATTTAATGCGAGAAATCTTTTACGTGTCGATACAAAACTATGGATACAAAAAATTGCTGCTTTTATTTTTAGGTTGAGAGAACTTGTGGAGATTGTACACAGAAAAAGAAATATTCTCATGTTGATTTAATATACATGATAGATGGTATAGATGGAGAACGTGGCACTAATGTCTCAGGGGGGCGTGGTTATTTTTTAACAGGACCAGCAGTTTTTCTGCAGCATGCGTTAATTCAATTAGCTCTCAGGCAATTACATGTAAAAGGTTACAAACCACTTTACACGCCATTCTTTATGCGTAAGGATGTTATGCAAGAAGTAGCACAATTATCTCAATTTGATGAAGAATTATACAAGGTATAGAATTAATTAATTACACGTACAAGTACATAAATACCAACTTGATCTCGATTAAAATTTTATTCGTTTAGGTAATTGGTAAGGGTAGTGAACGCAATGACGATAAAGAAATTGAAGAAAAATATTTGATTGCTACATCTGAGCAACCGATAGCTGCGTTTCATAGAAACGAATGGATTCCTGAAAATATTTTACCAATTAAGTATGCAGGACTATCTACATGTTTTAGGCAAGAAGTTGGATCTCATGGACGTGATACTAGAGGCATTTTTAGGGTTCATCAATTTGAAAAAGTAATTGTAGCTTTAGTTTCATTTATTATATGGAACATAATATGAATTTACATATTAGATATACATGGATGGTAGGTAGAGCAATTCTGTTTAACATCACCATATGATGATAAATCTTGGCAAATGATGGAAGAAATGATTTCAAATGCAGAAGAATTTTATAAATCTTTGGAGATCCCTTATCGTATAGTAAATATAGTATCTGGTGCATTGAATAATGCTGCTTCAAAAAAACTAGACTTAGAAGCATGGTTTCCGGGATCAAGCGCTTTTCGCGAACTCGTCTCATGTAGCAACTGCTTAGATTATCAAGCAAGACGTTTACTGGTCAGGTAATAAGCAAAACATAATAAAGTTGAATACTACAACATATTTTATTTTATTATTATTATTGCTATTATCGCATTTTCTGTAAGTGAAGTATCCTATTGATGTGTTTTAGATATGGTCAAACCAAGAAGATGAATGCTAATACAGATTACGTTCATATGTTAAATGCAACTATGTGTGCGGTTACTCGCGTCATATGTGCAATTTTGGAAGTACATCAAACAGATACTTCTGTTAAAGTACCAAAGGTTCTTGCACAATTTATGCCAACAGAATACGAGTACGAAATTCCGTTTGTTAAACCAGCACCTATCGATGAAACAGAAGTAAAAAAACAAAAAAAGCAAAAGGAACGAAAGGATGTTATCTGCACTTAAATAATTATAATGAATTTAGTTACAGTCTAAGTGCTATAAGTCTCAGATCCAATATGCTTATAAAATAGAATAATTGTTTGTTACAATTGACAAATAAATTTACCATAAATGTATTAGAATATCTGTAAAACTTTTGTGTATAAATTTTATTACTTATTTTAACGATATAGATATATACAATATGCTTCAATATCTTTCAGTCCATATTCCATATGTCTATAATATAATTTTGCTATTCAAGTGCAAGTTGTAACAATTTGCATAATAAAAACTTAAGAACAGTATAATCAACATAAAAATATTTAATCAAGTGCTTTCCATCGTGTCCTGTTTTCCTATAGATCTTTTTCTTTCTTCAGCTTTCTTTAAATTATTCAATACAGAATGTTCAAATTGTTCAATATCAAACATACTTTGATCTACCATGTGCTTCGTAAAATTACCATCATTATAAGCAGTTTCTGTGGCAAAAATGTTTGATTTTTCCTCTTTGTCCCATAACTTTTGAAGTTTAAGTGGATATTGAGCTAAACCAATTTCATATTTTAGAGCCATTTCAGCATCGCTTCTTTTTTGATACTCTACTAATGCTCTGCCTTCTCTTGTGGAGGAAATAACAAGAGCAATTATTTTCCCATACTTTGAGAAAATTCTATATAACGTATTATAGTCATATCCGCCATTGTTGGTCTGATCTTTATGAGACTTCCATTTCACTTTTAATCTATAAGAATCACTGTTAGTTTCTGATTCCTTGTAAACTACTTTTGATTGTTTTTCAATGTGTCTATTCATAAGTGCTATTTCTTCCTGTACTTGCTTTGATCCTTCTTTTCGCAATCGCTCTATCTCAGCCTGTAATTTCTCATTATCTGTATTCAAAGACTTTTCAGCAAATTCCCGTGCTTCCAAATCTTCTTTCAATTTTTTGCGTTTTAAATCAAATTCTTTGGCACGTAATTTTTGTTGATACTTAGCATTAATAACTTTGTCATAAGCTGCCCGAGCAGATGTATCAATAAGAATCTCCAAGGCTCGTGATAATTCATGAAATAATTCAGCTGCTTTTGGATTATCTGGATTTTTGTCAGGATGGCAACACAGAGCTTTCTTACGATATGCTTTCTTAATTTCTTGAACAGAAGCTGTTCTTTCTATACCAATTAATTCATACAGATCCATCTTCTGTTTTTATATATGTTTATATATTAGACACTGTGTAGGCTCGATGCACACGAGCGACGTGATCTCACTACGATATCCGAACAGAGCTTTTCCAAAGACGGTCTTCTAAACAAATTTGGATGGAAATTTGGATAAATACCTGAAAACTGAAAGCATTAACGAAATCACGATCGTATACATAAGTCTGGAAACTCCAGTAGAGAGGTAATTGCTTTTAATATCGGGAGTTGTTATATCGTAACAGAGAGGAAATGAGAGTACTGAGCCCGTAATTCTAATTGTTTTACAGTACAGGTGCTGCACCATGCGGCCAAGTGCTGAGGAAAACGTTAGCATGTACAATAAGTTATAAGTTAGCATATACAAGAACCCTTAAAATTAGGAATCTGCCCTATTTGTTTACAATTTACATATACAAAAACCTATATATTTAAGCTTAAGGTTAGGAATCTACCCTGTTTGGTTGCATGCTAGCACATACAAGAACCTATTGAGTTCCATATTATCAGAACCTATTTCTCGTTTGTGGTATTATATATCACTTTCTTCGTATACGTAATGGATGGGCGGCCGTTGCGTTTTTCATCTTCCAGAATAAAATTACCAGTTCTAAACCTCCTAAACCAACTACGAACTGTCTGAACACTTGTAGTAGCACTCCCATACACGATGTAAATCCCGGTTGCGATATCACTGTTGCCTTTTTTAAAACAATACAGCGTTGTAAGTCGGATATGCTTTTTCTTTTACGCTTTAAGACTTCAATGCAAACGAAATGTATTCTACGACAGTTAGAAGGCGACTGAAGGTAAAGACCACAACATTTGACAGATTAGGTTTCATGTTTGCATAAACATTAGATACAGCAGCTACATGCAGATAACGAAAAACAACCTAATAATTGGGACTGATACTAATAGTATTAGTGCGTATGAAGTACTAGTGTCTCTCTTTCCCCCTCCTCGCTATTCATGCGCATGCGTGTACCTTGTACACAACACTGTTACATAAATTTTAAAATGAAAACAAGATAATCAGTATTGCCAGTAATCATCGTGACAAAGACTTGGATATTGCAAAATATAATTGTTCGTATAGCAATGATTAAAAAGGTCTTTTTCAAATACGGCAAACGAATATATTTTAAAAATGCATTACAGCAGGTAAGTATAGAAAACATTAGAAATAGTACAAAAGTGAAATTAAGTTTAATCTTTCCTGTTCCATGAATTTAGGTACAATGGGTACAACAGTACTGTACCAATAAAACTACTAATGCTAAAATTGGTTCCGTCACTGATACGAGAGACCCTTCTTTTTTAGGGATACAAACTATTTTTACTAATGAATTAAAGTTTATTGACAAGCAATGTTACAATCCTTTACCAACATTTAGAATTTTAAATTTATCACATAAACATGTACAATTACCAGAGGATCTCAAGGTTTGCATGACTAATGTTTATTAATGTTACATGCAAATAATTCTTTCTTTTTATTTTCTCAATGATATGTTTTTCTTCTCACATTTAAGTTAGATCAGGATACCATGATTAGAATATATGATAAAATGATTACTCTGAATATAATGGACAAAATCCTATACGAATCTCAACGACAAGGACGTATATCATTTTACATGACCAATATAGGAGAAGAGGCTACTCAAATTGGTTCTGCTGCTGCTGTTACATTGGAGGACATTATATATGCTCAATATCGAGAAGCAGGTATAGAATAAAATAGTGATGTATTTAATTAATAATTAGAATTACATATCATTTATTATAAAATAATTTTATAGGTGTCTTGTTATGGCGTGGACATTCTATCATAGACTTTATGAATCAATGTTATGGTAACCACAAAGATGTTTCAAAGGGAAAGCAAATGCCTGTTCATTATGGATCAAAGAAATTGAACTTTGTTACTATTTCATCTCCTTTAACAACACAATTACCTCAAGGTATTGTTGTTTCTTACTGTTTCAAGCTATACAACAATTTCTTTAAAATTCACAACATAAGTGTCTCATCATGATATGAGACATATATATAAAGTCATTACTAGGATATGATTCTAATTATTCTAATACTGCCACTCTAATCATTTCTAGCTGTAGGTACAGCATACGCACTTAAACTATCTAAAAAGAATGCATGTGTAGTTTGTTACTTTGGTGAAGGTGCTGCTAGCGAAGGGGACGCTCATGCAGCCTTCAATTTTGCTGCAACTTTGGACTGTCCAATCATTTTTATATGGTAAAGTTAACTGTCCATTATATGCAAAAACATGAAGGTGCATTAAACATATGTTTAAAAAACTGTTTCACATCATCTGTTTCTAGTCGTAATAATGGTTATGCAATCTCAACTCCTACTCGAGAACAGTTTAAAGGTGATGGGATTGCAGCAAGAGGACCAGCATATGGGATATCAACAATCCGTGTAGATGGTAATGACGTTCTTGCTATGTATTATGCAACAAAAGCTGCTCGCGAATTATGCATTAAAAAAGGGAAACCTTTTTTAATTGAAGCTATGACTTATCGGTATACAAAAGCATTATTCTTTTTCTGTACATATTAATTTTTTAAAACATCCTATGTTACATAGTTTCCCCCTTTTTCTTGACATATATTTCAGAATCGGTCACCACAGTACTTCCGATGACAGTACTGCATATCGATCAAATGATGAAATAGAGCATTGGAATCATTATACACCAATAACTAGGTATCATAATTATCTGGAATCGATCGGTTTGTGGTGTGAACAACAAGATAAGGAATTAAAGAAACGCATAAAAAATTCTGTTTTACTTGCTTTTGCGGAAGCAGAAAAGGAACTTAAACCATGCTGGAAAGAATTATTCACGGACGTATATCACACAATGCCAAAGCATATTAGGTTTGTTTGAAAACATTAAACTAATAACATTATCCTTCAAAATATTTTATAAACGAATTTTTGAAATTTCTTTAATTACTAATGCATCTTTCTAATTTCAGTAAACAAATGCATTCTATGGAGGAACATGTTATGGAATTTCACAAACATTATCCATTGCACCTTTTTGAACGATAATAACAACAATAATCAATTTAATAATCAAATTCAACAAAATAATAACAGCAGATTAAATCAATTGTATCTACTAATTTATATTGATATTGCATATTTTTTATATCATTTAATAATAAAACATTTACATATTCTCTAAAACTTCATGTTAGCAGCTATTTCTTTATACTTTTCCATTCTGTACTCTTTTCTAGCTGCATCCAGTAATAAATTGTGAAGTAAATTATGTTGATATGGGTTGACTTGTTCTATAGCGGGATATACATTCCCTATAATTACAATTAATATTAATTTCAGCTGTGACTTTCTTTAAATTTGTAAATAAATAAAATTTGTTATAAAACACACCTTTCAATTCCAAAACAGCCCTTTTATATGCAAAGCCTGGATATATATATGGTGCATTATGAAGTTTTGTAAATGAAGTTGTATAGTCTTGATATCTTGGTACAAGAACCTTAAAAAGTTTATGGATAAGTTGTTTTTCTATTATCCAGAACTTTGCAAGTTCCATTGTTTCTATATGTTGAGGACCATGACGTAACGCTTCTGATATTAACTATAATCGAGACAAAATATTAAAGATATAATATTAAACATATAACGCGCATCGAGAACAGTTTACATGATACTCACTCGTTCAACATAACCTCTTGTCTCATCTGCCCTTGCATAATTTAACTCAATCCTTTCATATTTAATTACAGCAGTTAATGTTTTTTTAATTTTTCGCAATCTTCCTTCTGGACCATCTATATTCTTTAATTTGCGTGGTTTTGATCCAACATTGTACCTTAACCTAGAAACTAGCTTATCAATCTTCGCCTGATTCATTTTTACTATTTATATTGAATGGTAGTCTTTACTATTTATCCGTAATGTTTTTAAATTAATGTATTGTATTTTGCTATAAAGGCTATTATACACTTTTTTCGTAGTTAATCTTATGAAATTTCTTTAATATCGAGGAAAATTCTTTGTGATCTTTACATCACGTCGTGTTTCTGTTTTAATCAATCATACTACAGATTTCAATTAAATTTTATTTTATGAAAAAACGTGTTGAAATCAATTTAAAATTGACCAATATTTATCACTGATCGTCCTGTTGAATTTTAATATTGCCTTACATTACTAAATTTTAATTCGACAAAACTAAAAAATTGTAAATAAATTATAAGCGAAAGCATAAGAATAGAGAGAACTTTCTAAAATACCGTTAATATTTGTGTTGTCACTGATATATATATTGCATTGCATACACATATAAAATCAAAACATAAAATTTAAAAATTGATTTTGTAGTATATAATAGCTATATGTATAAAAAATAAAATAAAATTATTATATATTTTTAAGATGCGAAACATATTAATGATTGAAATTAATAAGTTACATAGTTGTACATATGTTAGTAGAAAATTTGTATTGTTCTATTACTATATATTTAAATATACATATAGACAACATATTTTCTTGTTTTGTAAAATATCATAACAAAAAATGATAAAGAACAGTTTGACAAGTATATATCAGTTATAGAATAGAATAATGTAACATTGGATGGTCAAGAGTTTTAAATATGTATGTATTGTTATGTATTATGTATGATGCATAATAAACAGTTAATTCAAATTGATGACTCGTAAATTTCTGCTGATAAAAAGAGGTCACAACAACGAGGTTACCAATTTCAATCAATTTATTTTCGGCAAAGAGAAATAAGGATAAAAAGATACAGTGGTCGTTACTAAATTTGATTACTTTAAACTTTCAACTTCTTCGATACGGCGCTTCGTAGTAGTGTTACTTGACAATCGCAAATGAGAACGGCAACAATTGCGTAGCGTAGCGTATTGTCGACCATAGTCGTCGTTCAGCTTTGAGGATGCACTCGGTGGCTGTTGATTATAATCTACGCTCGTATCAAAGAGATTAGCTACTTTTTTACGTAGAGCAAAATGCTTACATATATCTAATAGGCATCCAAATAAGTGCCTCCTTCTTTTCGATCACATTTTTTAATAAAAATATTTATAGAAAATGTCGATACATGTTATTTCATTGCATTTGCATTAATATAAAAGATTATATTTTATTTTGATTATATTATAATCTATGATGGCAATAGAATGTGCCAATAAACACTAAATCTAAAATATCACGATGGTAGCGATTATATTCGCCCTTTTTCGATTTTGTTTTATTGAATATTACATATTCCATGGTATTAAACATTACTGTATTTTTGTTAAGCTTTAAAAAATCGCACTACCCTCACTACATACTGTTTACATATTGGACATTCCGACATTTGTTTGCCACAATTCAAACAACAAGCCATATGGCCACATTCCAGGATTATACATTCAACTGGTTCATCCCAACAAATTTTGCACAGATTTTCGTCCAAAATTTCAGCTTCTATTAAGAATAAGGTGTGCAAGTTAAACATCTTTTTATTCTTAAAAAGTCAAATGACCAAATGTTTGATAAAGGAATCGTATCTTACTTGTTCTTGACTGCCTGTATTCTTCCCATAATCTGGAAGCTCTATTCAATAATTCGCATCTTTCTACGCAGCCTTTATAATCAACTCGATTTGTACTTAGCAAATTTTTTAATTGCTTCACGTTTAAACATTCCAGTTCTGATAATGTATTTATGTCAGATAATTTTACAGGATTCTACATAGAATGAAAAAAAAGTAGGAGAAATATAATAATACGTACACAGATTATTATGAGAAAATAATTATAAAACAATACTACTATAATTATACATACCATAGGTGCTTCTACACATACATCGGAATGTTGAATATTAGAAACTTTTGAAATTTTCTCTTCTACCGAATGTATCGGTTCTGCTCTTCCATTCGAATAAAAGTTAAGTCTAGGAATTGTTTCTGGAATTTCATTGCTATCAACCCTTGAAGCACTGATTTCGTGTGTACGATTAAAAACTTGTCTATTATACTCATCGTTTGTAGTTGCTGATCGGTTAGGGAGAGAACTATCACTGAAATTAGAATTGAATAAAGAAATGATTTGTTAAATACTTCTCATTTTTTTGTAATTTCAATACATATGTATGAATGTTTCCTTTCTCCTCTTTTTTTTGTTAGATATACGTGATACTACAGAAATCTATAACTCTCAAACAAGAAATATACAATATTAATACTTGTAATTAACGTCGATATCGTATGTTTTGAATTTAGAGTCGATGAAATAATTTTGGATTCTTTTTGCTCGACGCAACTTTCAGCTCCACGCCAAATGGAACTTACATGTTTCCTGCATCTTCCGTACTCAAACGAACATTAGCACCACTAGCAAATGTCATTAACAATTTTATCAAGTCTTCCTTTTCTGCAGTCAAAATGAAAGGGAAAAACAAGAATATTAACTAAAAGATATTGTCAGCAATTCTAAATGTTAAATATCTTCCGTAACTTAAACTTTTTCTCGCCGTGGTATACACACCAATACATCCTTTAATCGGTATCTTCTTTGCCAACAGATACCGTTGTATATCTTTAGACCGTACTTGTGCAATTAGACTTCGTGTTAAAGGTCTTCGTGACAACATATTACAAGTATTACAACTTAATATCTTGTCCAAACGCTTAATTACACATTCAGAACAAAAATGCCTCAAACAATCCATACATTGTTTCTGAAAATATGTCATAGTAAATAAATAAAGTACTCATTTTTAACATGTCTTTGGCAATAAAAAGGCACGTAGATGTATAATACGATGGTTCTTACCTTGCGTGTGAAGAAGCTGAATTTTACGTTACAAGCTTCACAAGCCATACTATCTTATAAGAATAATGTAATAATAAAAATACAATTGAAAATTTAGAGGTTAAGTTTACACAGCCGGACAAAAATAAATATTACGTAAATAAGTAGTAAGAGTAAGTACAACTTAAGTAAATAAGTAGTTTCAATTATAAATGTACTTTCACTATAAATATTAATAAAAAGGTATACGAAATAAGATCATAATACGCTATATTTTTATGATGTACCTCCAGCGTGTTTCAAAATATCACAACTTGATAATTAGAACCATAACAAATTCATACGAAGTAATAAAATATAGTAAAATATAGTAAAATATAGTAAAATTTCGCAAGATTTTATTACAGATGGCGATAAATGGAAATGTAACGTAATAAATAATTGGTAAGCAATAATGTGTAAGTATGATCGCTACGTACGTAACTGTTATCACATATTCAATATTGGAAATACAACTTATCTATAATATATGTATTATCAGTACCAGAATTTAGTGTAAATTACACACATGTCGCATAACGTCGAGTATACTTTTGAATAGCTGCGATTTAATGTTTATTTATTTCCAATTTTCTATGTTTTTTATCTTTTAATAATAATTTTCTAATTTTTAATTTTCTTATTATACATTATTTTATTCTTCTTATCGTTTTATCTATTGCTAGCTGACAAATATTTATACTATGTGAAACAATTTTAGTTTTGCTCGTCGCGCATACTATTAAAACTGTTAATTACTCTTACAAGGTATACATATCTAGCGACAAATATAGTAATAAGAAGATTTTCATTCACTGCAATATTCTGTTATAGAATTGGCCTGATTGTGTTTTAGATAGATAAATTTGTGTAGTTGATTACACGGTGAAATTTTAATACGCGTACATGTATATACACGTACAAGAAAATTGAATACGGAACATTATACAGAGAAGATGACGAGAAATAAGAGTATATATACACTATACATACATACATACATACGTGTATTCGTTCGAACGCACATCGATACAATAAAAAATGATCGAAATCGCAATTGTTGTGTAATTTAAAACGACTGAAAGGTACTTTTCTACCGTATTTTTATTATGATCTAGGACGATACGAACACCAAATAAATTACTAAATATAATATGGCGATGAAAGATCGTGCACGTGCCATGCGCACATGCGACGTATGCCTCACAATGGGGGGCCGATAAAGCGTAAAATGCAATTACATATTTGATTTTCCATCAAGTCGAGAAAGCGCAGCTTTTTTCAGTTTACGATCGTGAAATTGAAGGAGTAATAAGTGGGTGTTGGTCAAAATCGACTTCGATCTGGCTTTAAAGCCAAGCCTAGTAAAGAAAAATATTTCGAAGGAAAGGAAAGATGCGCGTAAGTAAGTTAAGTATACATATACATACAATAGTTGATTCGTGTCATACCTTTTTTCGACTTGGGAATATACATACTATATGCATGTATCTAGACTAAGCTTCGAGTGACTTTATTTACATTAACGGGTGTATCGCACGTTTCAAATTTCGAGAAAACTGAGTTTCTCTCTTTGTTGCTCGATCCATTGACTGGATCGAAGGAAAGTATCGATTTTTCTTTTCTATCTCATCTGATTCGTCAGTTGTAGCATCTTCGTGGAAGGCATCTTTCCTGGAAAAATATGTAACATAATCGATAATTTATAAAGTAAACGTGTATTGAAACACATACATGCGTATGCACTTGTACATAGATATGATACGAAATGATTATTGTAATTGCACTTGTTTATTTATATATTTACATACGTATATTTATTCTCTGATAAGCGGAATAACGATTTTGGACAATCTTTGAAGTAAGGCCAACACTCCCCATGAAACTTGCCTCTATTTTCAGCTTCAACATATTCTTTTAAAAGGTTCGAAAATGGTGATTTGCTAGCACTGTAAATAATACACATATACATACGCATTATGGAACACGTTAGGAAATTTGGATTTCGTTTTCAAAGATACCAAACAGTATCATAGAAGAAGAAATCGGAACAAATAAAAACAAGTACATAGTATGCGTGTAGGGAGTAAGGTGAGAAAGATGCTTACGTGAAAAAGAGTTTGAGCATTTCCCCGATTAAGCCGAAATTGCTTAGGGGATGCCCCTGCACTTCACAGATTGCCCTTAATAGACAGGCCTTTCCATTTAAACCGAAATTTGCGAGCATATCCTCAGCGGTACCGTACAAAAGAGCTCTTTCACCTCCGTAAAGTGCGTTCTTTGGCAAATCTGCGAGTGCTTCTCTTTTGCTGATTCCACGTTTTACGAATGTCGCGATAAATTCTGCGGCATTCGATCCCTGATCCCTTGCAGTAGTGTCAAACGCCGATGGTAAAGCGCCGTAAGGGTTTTCGTTATCGGTTAAACCCAGTTTGTCGAAATCGACTGTAAAAATGACGACAAATAAAAAGTGAGAACGAAAAGAAAAAAAGAGGAGAGAAAAGGAAGGGAAGATGATTAGAAGCAGTTCGAGCAAGAAAGATCGATCGAAAGGTCTATACGTGTATCGGACATAAAGAAACAGGGACGTGTATAACGTGACTAAATGACGGAAGATGAAGAAACGAAGATAAGAGACGAAACGAGCGACGATAGACGTATGTACTCACTGGTAAAGGGAAGGCTAACAGTCATGTTGCTAAGAAAACCATAGGGAGGGTATCTGACAAAGGGTAACGCCAATGTTGGAGTTATCGTCATAATCGTTCCTGGTGGTAAAGCTATTCGACCATCGTTAGTTATCCAAAGCAGTCTCTTCTGTCGATGGTGGTGAGAAAATAAGTGTCCGTTATAGCTGTTGCCGTTGCCACCGCTGCTACCGCTTTCGGTATTCGAAGACTTGAGAAATAGAATTAGTCCAACCAGTGCCAGTATGCTTCTTTTTCTTTCCATCTCTTCTCTTCTCTTGCGTACTCTTAAAACGGGACGAGATATCGTAGGAGAGAAAAAAAGAGAATCAATGAATCCTGAGGCATGCGTTTTCACATCGGATCTAACGTAGGAAGAATCGTGAATTAAAAAGATTCCCGTTATCTGTGTAACATCGTATGAACACATAAACATGCGATATCTTTGTATGCACGGTACGCGTCGAACGGCGATGTAGGGCATCGTATAGCAATAGTCGCAATCACGCAGCAACCGCGAAACGTGTTCAGCGTATGTTAACATTCCCGAAATCGTAATCGTAAGCACAATCGTAACGGTAACGGAGGATCATTGGTATGTTCATTTTTATCGACAGGAAATTACGCAAAGATCGATTCTCTTCTTTCACGATATCGCAATTGTCTGGCGTTGATAAATCGTACATAGACCGCATATGTGCATAGTGTGAAAACAACAAAGTGTACACGTGTTCGCGTTATCATTTATCTAACAAGGATCTATTTTGTTCGCATTCGACTAGGCGTAAGAAATGTAAACCCCTATTTCAATTAATCTACTCTGTAAATCATCTTTATCATGGGCTCTTTGCCTACGCTTAAGCGCGCGCGTATGCATCTTACACGTATGTATATATATATATATATATTCACATCGGATCTATATATATATATATATATGTACACACAGCGCGTTCAGCGTTTCTTGTAGCGCGTTTGAAAGTGCTAGCAGAAAATCTAAAGGAAATGAAAAGGTGGGTCAACCGAGCGATATAACAAAGTATATAGGTATGTTATACGGTATGTTCGTATGCACGCACATACATACGTGTGTAAATAAAGTTCTGTTGATATTCCTCGATCAACGTTAATACGTGCACCGAAATCAAGATTAAACGAAACTGGCTCGCTCGATGAATCGAATCTTCAGACACCGAATTAAGCAATCACCTCGCATACGTTTTTCGTTTGCACCGTTAAGCCCTGTTGTAAATTTGGGTCGTAAGTAACGAATAATACGATATGCTTCCTTTCCCTTCCTTTGTCTTTTTCTGTCTTTCGATTTTGTATCACTATCCATTTTGCAGGCACTTGCTCCCTCTCTCCCTTCACCCCTTCGATTCAGTCATAATTTTCCATTCTTCCCATTACTTTCCCTGTTCCTCCCTTAGTACTTCCAAATCGCGGCATTTAAATATTTTGCTTAATCGTTCGACTCGATTATTACCTTTAATAAAGAACTGTTGTTTTCGATAATCTCTCATTTACATCACGATGTTTCCTCTGTTTCCCAGTGTACTCTATTTCTATTCGAATAAGATGGCTATATTTATTATTAGGATCGCTTTGTGGAAAGAAGAGAGACACGTTCAAATCGAAGAATAACGTAGGTACATCGTGTTATCGCATGTCTATGCAAAGGTGTTCAAAGTTGGAATCGAACGAAGCTAGGAATTGAAAGAAAGACGAGACAGAAAAGATAAAGACACGCGACGAACGATAGAGAGGAAACTCTTGGAAGAAAGTTCAGGAGACGTATAATTAGAAGGGAATTAAGAATCGACTGTTACACGTCGGTGTAATGTAGTAAATACCTTCAATTTGCAGTAGAGACACGTTGTTTGTTTCATCAAGGTGCGTTAGGCACCTCAGACGGTCGTTGTACTATAACTGGGGTAATTTTGATGGACGCTGATTATCAGGGCTACGACATAATTGCACTTAATACCACAGATTCTTCGCTGCTGATACAAATCCGATAGGACCAGTTTCCTTATTTCTCTAACAACGAGTCGATGTTTCTTCTTTTTTAAATATCCGCATCTGTCTCTTCCATTAGATCGTAATTGTAACACGTACGGTCACACGTTGTCTGGCTATAGTCGACGAATTTTACTATCTTCTTTACATGTCCAAAACGACTGCTATTCGTTCCGTATTTCTAAAGCGAACATGTCACACAGACGTATATTTTATTTCTAAATATACAATTGTGTATCGTATCTACATATATATATGGCATATCATGTAGCAATTTATTATCGTAATTTATATTTTAGCGTAGTTTAGCGCGTGTACCGCGTATGCAACAGTTCTCTTATCGAACTGTGTAAAAGTTAATCCGCGTACTGGATATGTATCACGTAATGGTTCGCGTTTGTGTACCGTAGGAAGCTACTGACTCTCGCCTCGGTTTCGAACTGACCGGTAATCCACTCGGCGCTTCTCATTTTACGAGTTCGCGCGTTATCCTCCGTTACATTACTTCCCACTCACGTGTATTCGCGTTCTTTACGTTACTATCGAGTGCTATTGACTTTCATTCCCATCGTTTTATTATGCGATATCGTATCTTCTTACTCAAATCTTCTTACTTACTTTCTTTTCCTTTCTTTCTTTCTCTATCCACACTTCTCGTAAAACCATGGCAGATCGTAGCTTGATAAAAGTAATTGAATGACCAACTCGTAGTAAAAAAAATATGATAAAATTCACAACGTACTTTATTACAAACTTTTTAATTGAACAATATAGTTAATAGTAAATTGCTCGGGGAATCGACACGGGTAAACGAGCTCGAACGCAGACTCGACTAATTGTCACATATACATACCTGGCCAAAGTAATCGTAAATAATCGAAACAATTTTATATTATATTCTAATATCAATATTTTCCGCTTTTAGCCGGAGCACGCTGCGAAATGTTGCGAACGCACCTAAGCGGAATGGAATAAAAGATTTTCCATTGATACACGCGTGTAACGAATAGGTATAAGTATTCTAATTTCTATATACATATATACGGGAGAAGAAAGTAAGAAAGGGAGAAAAATAGAAGGAACGATGTCATCGTTATAATTTAGTATCAAAACATAAACGTTACCTCGAAATAAAAATGTTTCTTTAACCAGCTGTTGTTTAATTTTAGTCGCGATAAAATCAAAAGGACGCCTTTTAGCTCTTCGTTATTTCTTCAGCCGTTCGATTCAAATTAAAGGTAAATGGGTGTTTACTACGATAGTACTGGGTATTTCAAGTCTAGAAAAATGCAAGCCCGTTAGTAACTAATAAAAAAAAGATTAAATCGTAAATACTTGTATTCGTACGTAACATATGTAAAAATACGAAATGAACAGAATTTAATATAACGAAGGTATTCCCAAGGAAACCACGAACCACCATTGTTTGAAGATTCTTCTATTTTTAAACTAATAAATCTTCTCATCTACGTATAAAGGACGATCGAAAGTTTTCTTCTCTCGTTCTGCTTGTTAAAGAAATTGTAAATATTTTCGATAAAACATTTGAAATTACGTTTAAAAGTAAGAGAGTGACAGGGAGAGAAACGGGGCTGGGAAGAGAGTACTCAAATTATATGTACGTACGTTACGAAGGACAGCTGACCAAAACGACAACACTCGAAATCGTACAAGTTTTAAGACAGTTCGTCTTATCAAATATCGATACTTTGCAAATAAAGCGATTAAAACGTTTTTCTTTCTTTCTTCCTTTTTCCCCCAAAAAATGGATTACGTACATACAAGGAAATATACGTAACATTGGGATTCGAGAACCTTTATTATATTATTAATCCTTTCCAATAAAATATTTTTCTTACTTGTTACGCGTTACGAGAAACAAACAACGAATTTGCACACCTGTCGCGTCTACTTACTAACGTGCATGTGCTTATACGCGTATTATTCGTATTTATACAGAAATAATGCCAAAAATAAGCATTTATGGACTTAAGAATTGTATATAAGGTAATAACTGAAACAAGCAAGTCTTGTATATAAAAACATGACCTTACGTAATAAACACACAAAAACCATCTTTCATACTATTCTACATTTCTCGAATTTTCCCTTAATTGTCCTGTACATTATACGAATATTATTTTTAATTCATTTTTATCGAATAATCTTAGTTGATATATAAGAGTATATGAAAATATTTAATTTGACCGAATATGTTTACTCGGAATTCAGTATATGTAATAGAATAATGCGCAGATAAAACAAATACAAACATTCTCTCTTCCTCTCCCCCTTTTTCCAACTCTCCTTCTTTTCCTCGCTCATTCATTATTTAATATTTTTGTTGGCCACAAACAATAGGTAATTTGGAAAAATTCCTTAGTACATACTTGCTTTATGTACGAATGCTTTCCTTTCCATCTACCTCTCTTGTAGATGACTATTTCTTCCCAATTCATACATTTTCAATATTTAATCGAACGCTTCAACTGATGCAACAACTCCTTTTTCTTCCTCTTCCTTTTTCTTTTTTTTTTATCTTCTTTTCTTTTTTTTTTCTTTTTTTTCTCTTTTTCTTTTTTTTTTTCTTTTTTTTTTTTTTTTAATGAAAGAGGAGAATTTACCAACATGAAAACGCGAACTCTGTATGCTTTTATTTCATTTACCTTATCTAACGTTTCCAAAATCGTAAATACATTAGAAATAAATTCGACGAATTCGGCGAACGTTTCGACACTACCTTCCGTTAGATATCATTATCAATATGCATTTAGAACATTCGAACAAGGCACGCTTATTGCTTTTATAATTATGCGACTCGGTAACGAACCAACGACTGGTGCTTCTCGTACAAGCATTCACCATTTATCGCTTCTTCTGTACCCCTTGCCTCTCCGATAGAGCGAACTTTGAATGAATTAGGAACTATGAAGATACATTTCGTTATGAGAATAATTTTGGCTTGCATGCGGCGTTATTTCAACTCTGCTTTTGCTTTTACTAGCAGGCAAGGGAGCACGCGAAACAGAGGTAAACTGTAATGCTACCATACACCACTCGTAAAACAGGCGATTTGGATATATTAGAAACAATGGGAACGGGTAACAGCAACGTTTCGATCGGAATCGGAACGGTATTTTCTTGTACCTTCCGATATTTATATTTGTCGTTTTCGCCGTTTTCGTCTTCGTCATCATCCTCGTCGTTGTAATTCACGTTATTTAGTGTGTGATCGAAAAATGTCTTATCGATCGAAGACTATCATATTTGCAAGCCTATCTTTTGTCGGAGAGAGATCTATCCTTAAACTATCGTAAAGTATTTTCTTAACAGTTTTTAACGTAACGGTCTCGCAACCGCTGTTTATCGCAATTTAAAAATAAATTTGAATCATATTTTGTACATTAAAGAAGTTCGTTTTGTCTGAACACGATTTGGATATAGCTCACGTATCGATGCATACATACATACAAACTTATTTTGTTAGTCATACCATTGCATCGATCCACGTTCGCGTCTACATTCACACTTTCACGATATGCGCCACAATTAATGTCGCAGTACACATTTCATAGGCACATTTCCCTAACACTTGCTTCTCCATTTCTTTCTTTTTCTTCTACATCTTTTCTCTCCTTCTTTCTATCCTTATCATATCCTCCAATCTCTCTTCTCTTTTCTTCCTCTCCCCCCTCTCCTGTTTCCCCTTTTTTCTATCTCTTTAACGAATTATGCCAAACGCTCGAGCACACGATCAACACATTAACTAGCTACGTACCCGGCAAAAAGGATTCTATATGGATTTAATTAAAGTACTTAATTATTGGATATAATATATAACTAACGGTTATATATTATAAGTCTTTGGCGTTTGTACCAATGATTTTCCTATACGTGATTCATATTCCATGACGCTAATTTCCAAATAACGAACGTTTAAAAATTCGTGCTTTTGTATAACGTACGTTGAATCATGTGGCTGTAATATAAATCTATGTATATATACTTATCATCTATAAATCTATTTCTTAATAGGCACATGCGCTTAGTATTCGATATATGCATTTACTGCGATCCGTAAACGTTGTTCACGTATTTCGTGTATCGTTTTTCTTTCATTTAAAAGACATTTTTATATTTGCAAGAAAAAAAAAAACGAACGGTTAATGGATATTTATTACTTTTACCTATTACCGTTCGATCGTCTTAGGGAGAAAAGGGAGATGCATTAGCTTTATGCAAACTCGTCACTATGTGTACAAATCTCTTTTCGAGCAGTCTTCTTATCTATCTAACATAAATGCGAACGTAAACGCCATAAAAATCACAATTGCTGTAGGTTACTGCATATTACTTTAACAATAATAATAATAAGAGAGAGAGAGAGAGAGAGAGAGAGAGATTATTTAAAAAAAAGGAAAAGAAAGAAAGAAGAATATCTACTTGTGCTTACAAAATGATATACTGACGAATCTAAGTACTGTATAATAACTTTGAAATATGGACAGGAACCATGCACAACTATTAACGTCATAGGATTAATTCGATCAATTAATATCAACAAACAGAGAAAAGAAGTAAAATGATCAAGATGACAACGAAACATATGAATATGTTTCAGATATTCTTTGGCCTGTTTCTGCTATAGTATGTTTGGCAAGTTATTATAGCGTAAATGTATATAAGAAACGATCTAAAGTACAATAAAAAGCAAAGCTTAGAAGGTTCTTATTTAACCAGTCTATTTCTTTCTTTTATTCGTCAGAGAGAATGGAAACGCGTAAATGTTCTTTCAGTATTATATCAGCGACGTACTACCAGCTTTTCTTATTACTTGTCTTCTCTTTCTATTACTTCTCCCTTACTCCCTATGAATTCTAGAAAACAGTCACGCATCTGTAATAAATTCGCGTGTTATAAAGTTTATACAATTTTTTCTGATGAATTACGATACACGAATAAAAACTTGAACGAGAATGTAAATCGGTATTCGATCTAACTCTTCCCCTTATACCACAATCTTTTACTTGCAACATAATATTTTGGCACTTGTTTGACCATCAATCTCACGTTTCTTCCGTCAATAGTGTATTAGAATAGACAGAAATATAATCACCGAAACAAAAAGAACGTATCTTTCTTATTCAGTGTCATTTCATCACGCGATACAATGTTCAGTATCGATGTATAGTGTATATGCGTGATATTTTACTTTCTCAACAAAACGGCAGAACTGCTTTAGTACAATCGGAGCGGTCTTCCAATCGGAAGGACTATTGTTACTACTTTGAACAACACAACGAATACTAAAAAACAGTAACAGTACCGTTCGCACGTGTACTTTTGTGAGTTTTCGTTGTACATGTGTTATTTTAAGACAATGCATCCATAAATCACGTGCCGTAAGAAGACAATCACAATATTCGAAGAACGCTATCATATACACAATTGTTTAATGGCTAGTTACTATATACTTCTGGTTGTTCATCAAGTTCAAAAGTCTTTACTATTCTCCTTGCTTTATATATGTACGTAAATATGTTTGCACATATACGTACACATACGCAAAAAAATTGGCGAAAGAACTAAAATATTAGAAAGGAAAAACATGTAAATCGTCAGATTCTCTTTTATCCGATTCGCGAATTTTGAGACTACGAGAAAATATTTAAAAGTGGAAAAAATATCATAGGTTGAGGTTAAAGATGCAAAAAAAAAAGAGGAAAAAAAAGAAAAAAGAACGAAAAATTATCAATATTATGATGACGATAGCAAAGCGAAAAAATTGTTTTGTATCCTCCATGGCAAAATGGAGAATCGAAGGTTAAAAAAAAACATCGATATAAGCTACGAGGAACGCTGCTCTCGTTAAACCGGTACAGCCCCCTCACGTTCTTTTTCCTGTTGTCGCACGGCAACGGCTGCCTCAACCAGTAAGTAAAGACACTTGAACTTGTCTTTATCCTCTTCAGGTGGTGTCGGAGGTGGCGTCTCATCTGTATGAGGACTGTGAGCATTACGTGTACCATATACTTCTGTTTCATGCTGTACATCAGAAGTTTGAATAAGATGTTGTCTAGGGGCACTCCAATATGCAGCTTCGTTTCCCATGGAAGATTCGTCATCGTCCCTGAGCAGGATAAAATGGAAAAGAAAAACAAGAATATCAGTCGATTTTTCGTTATTAACGCGACGTGCGTTGTTATAAGGTCGAAATAATGAAAAACCGCGAC